CAAGAGAGTTGAAACCATGCACGGGCTAGCACTACATCTCACCAAGCTTTTGTGGAGCAGCTCATTCACTTATCGTTGAAGTTCTTTGTGCTCCTTTGGAAACATCATATATGCAGGTTTGTTGGCGATGACTGGATCAGACACAAGGTCAATGGCATATTGTACCTTTGTCATAAAAAGCAATTCTATAGGAATCTTTGATGGAAATATATCTTTAAACTGTTGCATCAATCCCTGCACTTCAGAAGGAATTGTCAGTAGTTGTCTGGAACTATCGGCTATGATAAAAAGGTACCCCATAGTTGTCTTCTTAAGACCTTTAAAAAATAATAGAGTAAAATTGTTGATTTCAATTCCCATCTAAATCGCTTCCTTCATAGGCATCAAAGTGGTTTGATTCCCTCTTTGATAAAGGAATAAGTGTTAACATACACATCATGAATTGTGCGACAATAATATTGTTAAGGCCGACCAAGCAATATTTGACAAGCGTGTCCAGCCGATCGAAAACAACACCATGCATTGTCAGGTTACTTTAATTTCAGCCCCCTTCTTAAGCCACGTTAGTTGGAAGGGATAGGGATGAGGTTGAATAGTTAGTCCAAGCTTCTCCACCATGATTGTTGCAATGTTCTCATAACTTCCAACGTCGATTACGAGGTTACAAATCTTATCCTAAAGTGTGCATATGGTTTTAAGGATCTTATGTCATGGCCAATCTTTATTTAAAGATTGTTCGACACCTAGGAGATGACCTATCACACGTAATTCTCGCTCATCTGTATGTATGATTTAGTCTCTCACTGGATTAGTATCTTCTTCTATCACATCATTCTCCTCTAGATCAACCCCCTCCACCAATGAAATAGTTCGCCAATTAGAACAATTCGAGACTATGTGGTCGAACCCATGACATTAAAAGCATTATATACCATATGTACTTGTAGTTGCAGTCCCTCGCGGCTAGAAAGCAATTTCGCTATTGATTTCAACTTTTCGACCGCCGGCCTATGCCCAGAATAGGACTGGTTTGCTGGAACCGCCCAAATCAATGGTAGAAATGCATATTGGAGTGTTCATACCCAATTTATTTTATTTTTCAACATTCACTGCAAAGTTTATCACGTCATGGAATGTCCAATATGGTTGAAGTTAAACCACCTTAGCAATAGTTGGTCGTAGACCAATCATAAAACATGCAATAGTGTGCTCTTTGGATTCAGAAAGATTGTACTTCAACTCCAACTGTTTGATTCAATGATATTTTCCTTCACGGAAAATTCTTGTTGATGGAAGTTATGAAGCTAGATAAAAACTTCTTATTGGTAATGTTCAGGTAAGAATTTATGTTGAATTTCTTTCTTCAATCTGGTCTAAGACATGATCTTAGATCCTCCCTTTATGTTGATTCCTCTTCGAGTTTCTCACCAAAGTGAGGCACTCTTCTTCAATTTGATCACCACTAGTTTGACGTATATTCTTGTGACACCTCATTGAATTCCAAAATTCTTTCAACTGTATGTGATCAATCAATGAATTCATTGACATCCAATCTTCCATCAAAATAAGGAAGGTCGATTTTGATTTCAAAATCTAGAGGCTTCCTTCTATTTTCATCCCATAAAGTACGTAGAGGTTGTTGATCACCACTAGATATCTCTTGATGGAATAGGTTAACTTCTTCTTTGCTGATAACCTCATTTTTTGATTCATTTTGACATTTTTTCTAAATTCGCTATTCAAGAAGCGCCAAACTTATTTGCAGAAGGCGAATTTCTTGCCGTAATTCACCCGCAACCAAATTTGGGTTGGACACACAATTTTCCTACTTGGTAACATCTTCAATTGTCAAATACTTCCTGGAACCGCAAAAACAATAAATATGGAAACCTAAAACTGCGATACCTCCAAAACCGCAAAATATTTCTTGCAGCCAACGAAAGCTAATGAATAGGAAATATTGGACAGAATTCCAGAGAAAAGAGAATTTGAAAATAAATTAAAAAAAGGATGAAAAGCATAATAAATTGGAGAATGATGAGAAAAGATGTGCATGAACCGTGCTCCGATAACAAGATGATATTGTAACAAGGTAAAACTGAAATCAGTGTGACATTATGGGATGATTGAAAACAGCTTGCGACACTTTGGATTTGACAACATTATGCATAATGGTAAAAAATTTATCTTCTAAGTTTTTTTATAATCTTATGTATTTGAAATTTAAGATTAATTCTCTTATCCTCTCTAGCTTGAAGTTATAACTATGTCATTGTTAGAACATAAACTGATGAACATGCATAATGTTAGCGATTTAGTGAATAGAATGAAGAATCAGATTGCACATGAAATAAACAAGGTTTTAATTATTCAATTTTTACCATTTTGCAAATTTAAATGTAACATATGATGAAAATAATAAATTTATAATATTTGTTATGATGGTTCGATCATAAAAAAAATACAAATTTTATGAATAGTAAATTAAAACTTATTTAAAAAAAATTAGGATCTTCTCATCTAATTTTTTCATATATAACCCAATAATAATAATAATAATAATAATAATAATAATAATAATAATAAATTTAATCAATTTCCGGTGTGCTCATCTTTACCTCCTGACACACAAACCATAAAGCCCAATCTAAGCAGCTAGGCTAACCATTACACAAACTTAATATTATTACCAGAATAAATATATCTCCGTTTACATAACAAAAATTTAGATATGCATATCAGATACTGAAAAAATAAAGAAATAAATATATCAAATAATCATTTGCTAAAACAGTGTAAATCCATCATCATAAGACACATGGTACCCACGACAACACGGCGGTGCTTGTTCTTCATATTCAGAACAACAGCTCCATCTCCTCTTCCAATTTGAGATGCCAGCGTCTGGCCTCTTCTCTTTATCATTCCACCTATAAACGATAACACCGCTCTTATCCGTCCACTCGCCTTCAATTCCTTGGTGCGGCGGAGACAGAGAAAATAACCCCCTCTCACCTGCATATTTGTCCCTACTTCTCATCATCAAAATATATCACAGAGTGCTTATAGTTGTGAAGTGGAATGAAAATTTTTTTAAGTAAACTTTTAGGGTTGTGAAAGATCCTAAAGTTGTTCTGATTTGGGTCAAACTAATAAAATCATAAAACTGAGCTCAAGAAATCATCGATTGTGATCCGATATGAAGATTGTACAAATCAAAATTCTCTGAATTTGAATTTTTACTTAAAATTTGAAGCCACTCAAAATTTACTTCTCCTACAACTTAATTGAACGACTCGATGAAAGGATTTAACAAGCTTATTAAGGGGTTGTATGATAACAACTTTAGTAGCTTTAGTAAATCTTATAAGAGAAATTTACATACACACTACACAATTTTTATGTATTTACATATCATCTTCAGTTCCGTGTCTTTTTCGATATAAATTCAAATTTGTTGAATTTGATTCACAGGCAAATTTATGGGATTTATTCTGGCGTGGCTCACGAGCGCCTTTTCCATCAAATATGGATTTGATAAATGCAAATTTATCAAATTTACTAAACCATATTTAACACTTATCCAAATCCAACCTAAATTCGTTACTATCACATCAAACATACTGCTAATATAATTTATTTAAAGTGAATCACAACTTTTCATTTTTATACTACGACGTGATTATATGACTTAAGGTATTATTAAAGTATTCAAGTTTTGACATTAAAGATGCAAATATATAAGAATTATGTTATTGAATCTGAATCTATCCAAGAAATCTGCGAAAGGAATAGAGCACTGGGGAATGAGGGGGGGCAATAGCACAGTAAAAACAGTAAATTTGTGTAACATTTATTCATAAAATAGACCCCAATTTATAGGAATGGGTCTTTGTATATTTACATATTGCACCCCTAGAATTTTTAGATACGGCGAGGGTATTTTAGTCCATATGTGAATATCACTCATGGTACCCACAGGTGCGGCCATGCAGTTGTTAGGCCAAGCGGCTGTTTGTTGGGGTGCGCATCAACCATCTTGGAACCGGGGGATCCGCTTCACTTTCTCGATTCATCTGAGTTGGAGGATGGAGGGTTTGTCTGAATGGACCTTGTTAGGTGGATTCTTCAAGAGCGATCTACCACTCATCCGTCTAAGACGCACCACCTTCCTGGTTCGTGGGACTGGTCGGCTAGGTGTGCGGCCCTAGATCGCGCTAGGTAGATCTTGCGGGGCCACATCAGCCATTGGTCATCCGTGTTAGCATGTTTTTGGCCATTCGGGCAATAACACAATAAAAATAGTAAATTTGTGTAACATTTATTCATTAAATTGACCCTAATTTATAGAAATGGGTCTTTGTATATTTACATATTGCACCCATAGAATTTTTAGATACGACGAGGGTATTTTAGTCTATATGTGAATATCACTCATGGTAGCCATAGGTGCGGCCATGCAGCTGTTAGGTCGGGCGGCTATTTGTTGGGGTGCGCATAAGCCATCTTAGATCCGCTTCACTTTCTCGATTCATCTGAGTTGGAGGATGGAGGGCTTGTTCGAATGGACCTTGTTAGGTGGATTCTTCAAGCGCGATCTACCACTCATCCGTCTAAGACGCACCACCTTCCTGGTTCGTGGGACTGGTCGGCTAGGTGTGCGGCCCTGGGTCGCCTTAGGTAGATCTCGCGGGGCCACATCAGCCCATTGGCCATCCATGCTAGCATGTTTTCGATTTGCATATGTGATATGCGAATCACTCTCCATAAAAATAGTCAATTACTAAAACAACAGGAACGATATTTGGGGGTGTGATTTTAACAATATTATGAAATGTCATTTCAAAATCAGATAAAAATTTTCGATTTTTGCTCTTTCCTCGGACCAAAATCAGACCAGTTTCAAGAAATTACATCTAATCAATCGAAACCGTAGAAAATAAATAAATCAATGTTACCCATTCAGCCGGCCAAGTTTCGTGCGGGGGCAAGAAGTATACCGGTGGTGTGGCCATGGAAGGCGCAGGCCGTCGGAGAGTTATCTGCGTCGGCGTAGAGAGCGCTGCATCGAAGGCAACGCTTCGCTTCCGCCGCCGCCGGTGTCAGTGTGGTTGTGGTGGAGGGGCTGTGATGAAGAAAGGGGCTAGGGTTCCGACTATCAGAGCTTTGAGAGTATAAGACAACAAGCTTTCTCGGAGGGTTTCGGGACGGGATGAGCGGCAGCATAAAGCGACCGCCAGAAGCCAATGCCATGGTTGCTCCTAAGTGCTGTTCCGAGAGAGAGAGAAGCCAAAAAATTTGCACTTAAGCAACGCTTACCGCGGTATAACCCTTGTAGCCTCCCTCTCGTAACCTTCTATAGCATATCTTTAATCTAAAATAAATTTAAGGCTTCTATTATCATGTATTGAGAATTTATTGAGAATTTATTGAGAATTTATTAGTAGGTTATATGTATGTTACAGTAGGTTATAGGGAATACAAGGGGTTATACCGCGGATATAACACTCTTGTACCCACGGCATAACCTCAATATCGTACGCAGCATTGTGTACGTCTATCGCACACAATTTTTTTCCAGAGAGAAGGGGATCACGGGAACAAATGTTACATCCCAACTCCGGAAATCACGCCACTCGGTGATAGAAAAATAAAAAAAATTATTCCGTATTATTCAGGTGTTATTATATTCTGAAAATATTCTTGATAATATTTTTAGTGTTATAATAACAAAATAACACATCAATACCACCACAATAACACCTGGATAATACGGAATAACACAGGAGGAATATTCCCGTGTGTTACCGGGCTGGATCAAATGAAAATAATTTTTTTTTTCTATCAGCTCCTACATGAAGGTGTTTCATTGGATTTCGAAGGTATTTGTACACCTGGAGACCAGGCGTAATAATTTTTTCAGGGGGAGGCCGAACTAAACTGGGCGAGATAGTCCGTTCGGGCATTTTAAAGCTTGTGAGGTGATCATAGTCTTGGCTAGTCGGCTTGGATTAAATATTACTAAGTAGCGATTTTATTATATTTTATTTTATTTAAAATAATTACATACAGATCATCATAACAATTGATATTTATAAATTAATTATTTTGATTTTTTTTTTGAGCTATTGATGGGATGTATTTATACATATCACGATCAAATTATTATAAATTTGATAAAAATTAAAAACATGAGCTAGGATTTTACCGAGCATTCTTATATTTGAGCGAGAATTTGAAAAAAAAATGTTTGATTTGTAAATAGCAAGTTTTGGGAGATTGTATGTGATTTTACTTTTTTTAATCCTTTTAATGACATTTTAATTTCTAATTTTTTTCAGAAATTAATTTTTAATTTTCTAAAAGAATTAATTTGCATATTATTAATATTTTTGTGTATTTATATATTTAAAAATATAATTTTAAATATTTAAAAATAGAACAAATCATAATCTTTAAATCATAAAAATACTTTAATATGATTTAACCGTAATTATATTTTTGAAATAAATATAACTATTTAAATATTAGATATATAAAAGAAAATTGCATAAATTTACACGATCACTCTTGTGACTGAGGATTTCTATTTAGGGTCTGTTTGAGACAGTTGAAGCTTATTGAATAATTTGATGATCAACTAATTAAAAATCATATGTTGATAAGCTAGGCAGAGCAACTATTACAAATTTTTATTTTTATGAAAAATCCGGATCGCTGTCAGAAAGTTGTCACCGAATATATATACGTGCGGTGTGAAAATGTTATTTTCAGCGTTTTAAAAACGCATAAGCTGTCGAAACGCAGTTTACCCAAACAGACCATGTGTGTTTTAAATCACCATCGTACTAAATAAGCTGCCCCAAACGACCCTTATTATTCTAATAGTTCAAGTTTGACGTCATGTGTCATTGTTTCTTCCGGTCAATTTTAAAAACAAAATAATTAATTCCTTTTAGTATTGTGTATGAGTTTAAAAAAACCCAAACTTGCCAAGGAAATGCCTGTAATTCCTCCGTATAGATTGAGAAAATTGGCGGCCTTGAAAAAATCTTGTTATGTGGAACCCTTAAATAAAATGAAGAAAACTCTTAAATATTTAAATATCTTTTGCATTAATAGTTAGAATTTCGTAAGAAACTTAAAAATCAAGCGTTCGTGTGAGATCACTCATTGAATGGGCGGTCTTCCTTGAAGTTAAACCACTGTAATAAGAAGTGAGAGATTACTAGACCAAACGGAACAATATCTTGATTGATGAGAGGTCAGGCTGTTACGAAGTAGTATAAGAGCATTACACCTGTTTTAAGAAAGGATATATAAGTCTGATAAATTGTTGAATCTAAAAAAGTATGTGTATAACACCCAAGGAAGACAACATAAGTCAAGAGAGAGAGAGAGAGAGAGAGAGAGAGAGTAATGAGCACATGAATAACTATTGTATTACCCCTCCCTCCGGTCCCCTTTACACTCTACTTTTATTATATTTATAATAGATAATAATTATATTATGAAATGTCTATATTGGACTTAATTTTTTTTGTCGGCATTATTCACAGTAACCGTAATGATTGCCGTTATTATGGTCGAACCTTTTTATATAAAATTATCGTTCCACTTTCCCCTAGGCTGTTGAATGGCTCACATCTTTATTCGATTTGGCCTTTAGTTGGCCGACTGAATAGTTCATTTCGTGTCAGCTGAAAGATCTCAATGCTCGCCGAGTTTGATTTTTTAGCAGTGTCTCGTCCAAGGTCTTGTACTTTGACCATATATATTTTAGTTCTCTGACCCTATTGTGCATTAGTAGAATGCATGTTGTAATAAGTTTGTGAAGGAAAAACCAACCTACATCGTGGAAGGCAACAACAACCTTAGTCCATGAATGCAACAACGACATAAGTTGATGAAATCAATAACAGTCTGAATGAGAAATGCAATAACAACCCGGAGAAAACTTCAATTTGCATAGAAGTGGTTCTTAATGATGCATCGTGATTCAGCTTTTTTGGGGTTTCGTTCAGCTCGCGAACCCATAGGTGTGCTTGAATATCCCCTATAATACCCCACATGCTCCCCATAGTGCCCCACACACACCCAATGCCCTACTCGTCTGCGTTGTTAAGCGCCCCAGACACAGACTGTTGCATCTCCGCTCACATTCATACCCATATATGGAACCCATTACATCCTTAAACACATAATCATAATCATTTTTGTATCCAAATGTACACTTGCATCATGCATGCATGCCTACACGTCCAAACACCTACTACCGCCACCGACATATCACTACTACTGAACCATTATTGTCTGACAACCATCGTTGGACCACTGCTATCTGGCCACCATTGGTGGGCTGGGGCCATTATTGGACCACTATTGTGTGATTGTTCCTACCACCAATTGGGATAACGACAACATGATCAAAGATAATTTTGGAGAGAAAATCAAACGTGTAACAACCGACCTTCACAATTGCCAACCACAGTTGATCACCATAGGTCATCACAGTGTCGCTAACCACCAATTGTCGAGAGCCACATCTTGAAACCGTTTTAGTAAAATATAAAGATGTTGTGCCTAACAAAAATATTTTCGTTGTATTGTATAAAGATTAGTGTAATTTTAGGTGTAAGATTGCAATCTCGTTTTTCCCTAACGCAAGAAAAGAGAGCACCCATGTACTTATAAATGCATTGTAAATCATTTTTAAGACATTAAATTATCACTTCTGCTACGAGTTTTTTTATCATTTTTGTGTCTTTGCGCGAGGATCCTCTTATCCTATGAAGTTATAGTTATGCACTTATTTAAATCTCTCAATTTATAAGCATCGGTCCCATTAGTAAACCACATGTCAGGTCACACTTTATTTATCGTATTGTCATGTTTCATTCAAATGGCACGGTCTTTTTTGTTAACACAGTAAGTTAAACTTCGCCACAAACATATTAATTAGAAAAGAGTGAATTTAACAAACCAAAAATTCAGCATCAAATAAACACATAAAATAAATAAACAATTTATGAATGTTTTATATATTTGATGTTAAGCCTGCGTTACAAATTAGAATACTGCGTCTAGTATTTGTATCGGCAGATTAATTCATCTTAAAAATAGTTTGTGAGGGCAGTGAATAATTGAAAATATCGTAAGAAAGATAAGTTTGTAAATAAAAAAGATTAAAATTCTTCGAGAATAAAAAAAAATTACATCCCTAAGCGTATAGACAAAAACAACCATATACATAAACAAAGACTTTTTTTGCATGTTCTAAATATGGAAATCAATGCACTAAATTGAGTCCATCTTCTGAAGTGACTGAATGGAGCTCACATGACGAAGTGGTTGAATCGAGCTCTGTGACGAAGTAACAAAACTCCATCTCTTCCAAGGAGGTGACTTAGCTACTTTGGGTAGAGATAATTGTTAGGAAATGCCATCATTACTATCAATGATACAGGTCCATCCTCCTTTAAAAGTGTTGCTTGACACCCGTGTCACCGTCTTTCATTGAGATATTATTGATATGTGTCATGTTGTACTAATTGTATTTTTTATTAATTTCTTCTGTTTGTATAAAAGGGAAGTTGGGAGGAAATGAGTGGATCCTAGAACTTTTTCCCAAATCTCTCTCTCTCTCTCTCTCATACTATAATTCGGAACTTCTCTTAGCCATTTTCTAGCTTTTCGGAGGTTCAAGTTCAATGTAAAATCCCTGAGACATTCTCTCAAACCTCATCCTCGTCTCTCTCTCTCTCTTGGGGAAAGTAGCAGATGGGAAGAAGAAGGCTGAAAGCTAATTTTATTATGCTCTTTTCAGCAAGATAACTTTTTGTACAACAGGTAACATATATAGAGATATATAGATGAAGTTTGCTAGGAAAGCAACGGTGTGATATGAGTTGTAGTGTTGGACGTTTCTGATTTGCCTTGTGGTTGCTTTTGGCAGTATTGTGGCGGGGAGGTGGAGCAGGCTGCGTTACATCCCCAGCAGGAACTATCAGTTTGTTCATTAGCTTCTAAAATCTAGAGTTGGGAAGAGCTTTGGTAATGACATCAGCTATTTTATCTTGCGCGTAGATGTGATGGACGATAAGTTGGTGGTGCTGAAAGCAGTGGCGAATGAAGTGACAATCAACTTTCATGTGCTTGGTGCGGGCATGAAATATAGGATTGTTGGCTAGTGCAATGGCGAAGACATTATCACAATACGACATGGTTGGTTGATGCCGAGGTGTTGCAAAGTCATCCATGAGTCCACGTAGCCATATGAAACAAGAGCCTAGTATTCTACTTCGGGCAGAGGAACGAGCTACGGTAGTCGATGAAAGCACAATAGTCAGAT